TCAGTTGGGAGACGTGGAAAGTAGGGTGTATCTTCATGGCTGAAGGCAACTTCAAACGAACCGCAGCGGGGTTAATGATGGACTCCACCACAAACGGACCCAGGTACCGAGGAGACAGCTTGCGTGATTTGATACGAAGAGGTACGTTCTTAGATGACAGCCAAACCTCTTGACCAGGATGAAACACAGGTGCGGGAGTCCTGCTCCTATCCGCTGTCGTCTTGTTCCTGTCGGTGGTCCGAAGCAATGCTTCCCGAGCGTCGCTCCACACTCTCTGGCAGCGGCGGAGGTTCTCCTGAACCGAAGGAACAGCCAATTCCTTCTCCTGAGCAGGAAACAGAGGGGGTTGATAACCCATGGTAACCTCGAAGGGTGAAAGACCGGTGGCAGAGGTGGTGAGGGAGTTGTGGGCGTACTCTATCCAAGGCAGATGTTTGGCCCAGGATGATGGATGTTGAGCAGCCACACAACGAAGGGTTGCTTCGAGGTTTTGATTGGCTCTTTCTGTTTGACCGTTGGTCTGGGGATGAAACCCTGAGGACAGACTAACGGAAGCACCCAAAGCAGAACAGAAAACCTTCCAAACACGGGAAGTAAACTGTGGGCCTCTATCAGATACGATGTCCACAGGTATTCCATGGGGACGGAATACATGTTGGACTAGGAGGTCCGCTGTCTCACTGGCAGACGGTAATGCTATATAGTGGACAGATTTAGAGAATCTGTCCACAATGGTAAGTATAGTATCATTACCTTCAGACTTGGGTAGGCCGGTGACAAAATCCATGGCAATGTGGGACCAGGGACGGCTGGGAACTGGGAGGGGTAGCAGCAGCCCCGAAGGGGACTGATGGGAGGCTTTGCCCCGAGCACAGGTTGAACAGGCTGCCACAAAAGCCCGAACGTCAGTTTCCATTGAAGGCCACCAAAAATGTCTCCTAAGCAGCGTCAACGTGCGTCTCATCCCAGGGTGACCAGCAAAACGGGAGGTGTGAATCCACTGCAACACCTGAGACCGGACTGTCTCGGGAACAAAGAGTAGGTTGGGAGGCCCATCACCCGGTCCCGGGTCCGTGGCAAGTGCAGTCTTCACAAGAGACTCGATCTCCCACTGTACTGCCGCCACGACGCATGAGGAAGGCAGGACTGCCTCAGGCTCGCTGGTCTCCGAAGGGTCAGCAAACTGGCGGGACAAGGCATCTGGTTTAACATTTCTTGACCCCGGTCTGTATGTAAGAATAAAGTTAAACCTACTAAAAAACAGGGCCCATCTGGCTTGGCGTGAGTTGAGTCTCTTAGTGGCTTGGATGTAAGCCAAGTTTTTGTGGTCTGTCCAGACCACAAACGGCAGTTCAGCTCCATCCAGCCAGTGCCGCCATTCTTCCAGTGCTAGCTTGACCGCCAGCAGTTCCCGGTTTCCAACGTCGTAATTCCGTTCTGTGGGTGACAATTTCTTGGAGAAAAAAGCACAGGGGTGAAGCTTTTGGTCAGTGGGGGAGCGCTGGGAGAGGACAGCTCCCACACCTGAGTCCGACGCGTCCACCTCCACAACAAACTGCAGAGAGGTATTGGGGTGTATCAACACGGGGGAGGTGGAAAACAGTTCCTTCAAAACCCCTACCGCCTGCTCCGCCTCAGGGGACCACAGAAAAGGGACTTTTGGGGATGTGAGTCTAGTAAGGGGTGCCACCACTTTACTAAAACCCTTAATGAATCTACGGTAGAAGTTAGCAGAGCCCAAAAATCGTTGAAGTTGCTTACGGGTGGTGGGTGTGGGCCATTCCGTCACTGCCCGGATCTTCTCGGGGTCCGCCTTCACCTGCCCGCTCTCAATTATGAAACCTAGGAACGATGTAGACTGTTTGTGGAACTCACACTTTTCTGCTTTGACGTACAGCTTGTTCTCCAAGAGCCGTTGAAGGACTTGACGGACGTGTGACTCATGCTCCTCGGGTGACTTGGAAAAAACAAGAATATCATCCAGGTATACAAAGACAAAACGGTTCAAAAAATCCCTAAGAACATCGTTCACCATGGCTTGGAAAACAGCAGGGGCGTTTGAGAGCCCAAAGGGCATGACCAAATACTCAAAATGTCCCAGTGGAGTGTTGAAAGCGGTTTTCCACTCATCTCCCTTTCGGATTCGGACAAGGTGATAAGCGTTCCTGAGGTCGAGCTTGGAAAAAACTGTGGCGCCATGCAGAGGTTCAAAAGCTGAGTTGATGAGTGGAAGGGGATACTTGTTTTTAACAGTTATGTTGTTTAAACCCCTGAAAACGAAACAGGGGCGTAACGACTTGTCTTTCTTTTCCACGAAAAAGAACCCTGCACCCAAAGGAGACGACGAGGGACGGATTATGCCCGAGGCCAGAGAATCCCCAATATACTGCTCCATTGCCTCTCTTTCCGGTCGGGACAGATTGTATAAGCGACTAGAGGGCAAGGGAGCACCAGGAAGCAGTTCAATAGGGCAATCATAAGGCCTATGTGGTGGTAGAGACAGAGCCTTGTCCTTACTGAAAACCTCCGCTAAGTCATGGTATTCTTTGGGGACAGATGACAGATCGAGAGGAGCTGAGGGATGAGTTGGGTTACACTTAGTGGGGGGAACCGCTGATCTAAGGCACTCTGAATGGCAGTTAGTGCTCCAACTGAGAATGGTGTGACGTGTCCAATCAATTTGTGGGTTGTGAAGAGCCAACCAGGGGAAGCCAAGGATTAGGGAGGTAGCTGAGCTCGACCCACTTGCATTGGTTCCTCCTCTGTGCTCGGGATGGGATCAGGAACAAGAAGCTGCCGGCTCCGGGGAGGCGAGACTCGAGTGGTTGAAGGCTGGGGAACTCGTCCTCCTAGATGTGGCCGACCGCCTCTCTCCCGACGCCTCTCCCGCAACCGGTTGTCTAGCTTAATGGACAGGGAAACGAGAGAATGTAAATCATGTGGCTCATCACGAGCAGCCAGTTCATCCTTAATGGCTTCATTCAAACCGTTTAGAAATGCTCCTTGAAGTGCCACATTGTTCCACTTGGAGTCCGCTGCCAACGTCCAGAACTCAATAGAGTACTCTGCCACACTGTTAGAACCCTGCCTCAAATTATCTTGGAGGAATTACCCACATGGTCAGGATGGTCAAAAACAGTCTTCAATTTAGCAGAAAAATCAGCAAAAGTCAATCCAGTCAAAGTTTGATCTGAGCACACAGCCTCAGCCCAAACCAGAGCTCTCCCTCTTAACAGCCCCAGAACATAATGTACCTTAGAGGAATCAGTAGAAAACGACAGTGGTCTCTGCCGAAAAATCAAGTCACACTGAAGCAAAAATCCCCGGCACTTGTCCAATTCTCCATTGAACGGTTCAGGCGACGTGACAGGGGGTTCCCGACGGAACGAAGCCTGCATAATGTCAGAGGAAACAACTTGGGGTGCATCAAACTGGGGGTCAGAGAGAGATGGAGAACTGATAACAGACAATTTAGAGACTTGTGTAGTTAACTGAGTCACCTGGTTCAGCAGTTGATGATTATCTTCCACAAGAGTCCGAATCAATTGGTCATGCTGTCCTAGCAACGTTCCTTGAGCCTGGATAGCTTGTTGGAAGCTGTCTTCGTTTGCCCCGTGCTGTTTCTCTGTTGGGTCCATGGCCAGATCGTTCTGTTACGCTATGGTTCAACCCAGCACTCAGAGAAACAAACACAACTAAGGGAGTGGAGGAAACAAAAATTATTTTAATAAAAGTTCAATTTGTCTTAGTCCAAAAAACAACTGAAGAAAAGGAACAGAGTGGGCTAGTCGGCTCCGGAGGAAGGAGAGGCTGAGGCAGGCAGGCAGGCAGGGAGGTATGTCTGAACTGAAGACAAAACAAACAACAGGTTAAGGAGAGTAAAAAGCCAGGCTGAAGACTAAGATAATATAACTTAACTGGTGAGCCAAGTTACCGCTCTAGTAAGAACAACGATCTGGCGCCGGTGGAGAGCCATGCCCCGGAATTAGTAGTGCAGGTTGATGAGAGAATAGGATGCAGCTGCGTAGGCAGGAATCACTGGAAACAACCCGCAGCTGCACAGGAGAGGCAGATCCTGAGCACGCCCCCTGATCCACTCCAGACACACCCACATAAAGGGGACAAACACACATACAGATACAACAGACAAAGAGGGGACAAAACAAGGAGGAAGGGAAACAGAAAAGGGAGAGACAAGCTGCCCACATAACAAGCCCATCTAGTAATTTAATAGGATCTCTATGCTCAGCATATTCAAAGTACCCCCTTTTTTACCATCACCTCACCCATCTCTCGGCCCACCTAGTTCAAAAGTGTTAAGACAAGCAAGCATCTTTCGCCGTTTAATCAAGACTCAAACAAGCATCTTTCTCCGTTTAGGCCTAATCAAAACTGTTATCAGTAGCCTACATCTGTGGTTCATGACACTGTGTTCCTCCTTGACCGTGAGAATGTAGGCCTACTGTGTTAAAATTCATAAGTTTGAATGTCTTTTCTCTACTCACATGGTTAACAATGAGTTACTGATTAGACCACCCGGGTCCGAACAAACACATATCTTCGTAACATTTTGCTTCTGGTAGTTCAATTGTTTTTGTGTATGTTGGCATTTTATTAATTGGGCTTCTGTCTATAAGATTGAGAAGTCAGTTGTTTGTTCGAAACGGGTCTTCTACTTTTCTCTCTTCAAGAAGGCCTTACATATAACTGTAGTCTCACGTGACCATCCTTCCAAATTACGTCTTGCTACTGTAGGCCTAATACAAATAAGTACATCTAAATTCTAGAGTGAGATGAATCTTCATTTGTATTACGCACCATGTCTTGTGTTTTACAATTTTGTAAATTTAACTCATGACATGGTCTGAGGTGGTTCATTATCGGTGGTCATTATCAAATTAGAACTTTTCATAGATCGGCTACAGACTGCATTGCAACAATAATGCAAATTCTTAACATGCAATGTGAAAAATATATACACAGACAAATTCAACAGACAATATGGATCCACATAAAAAGCTTTATTTTCACAAAGGACCAGTTATCCAACCAGGTTACAATGCCACTTGGCACAAAAATGGTTAAGTGTGCAATATATTGCACTATGGAATGGATCACCAAGTCTGCTGAAGCTAGGCTAAATTATGCAATGCTGCTTAACATGCTTACTGTGCTCATTGCTGTTAGCATGTAGCAAAAATACATCAGGACTGCCATTTCAGATAGTTGTCATGAAACATATTTTGCATTTGGGAAGAGCATAGAGGCATTGGAGGGGAATGTTTCATCATGTACAGTATTCTCCATTGGCACTCATGCACTGTGGTAGTCACTGTCTCCTGGTGAGATAGGAAAGAAAGTTAGTTGTCACTTCCACACAGGGCCAGTAGGATCTTCTCATAGTCTCCCTTGGTGTCATCCTAAGGGGGTAAGAGAGAGCACAGAGTTACTCTACAAAATATAAATCAAAATATAAAATCATGTTTAGACACCATAATATAACAATATTTATTTTGACAATTATTTTCAGATGCCATATTTCCCCATTTCACACATGGCCCATCTCGGATTGGACCCAGAAATATGAATACTTCATACAATGTGATGCATGTCCTTAAAACCAGGGACCCCGAATAAGCCTAGTCCTGGATTTAATCTCATTCTCAATGGAGGATCTGTTGAAAAAGCTTTAAGGTCTAGTACTATGCTTAATCTAGGTCGGGGAAAACAGTTCCTTGTCTTTTATTGCCACTTTGGCAGTGGAGATGTTTGCTCACCAGAATATCCTGGTAGAGGCTTTTCCCAAACGTCTTCTTATACTCCTGTTTGATCCGGGCCATGTCCACTTCAGACCGGCTCACCATGACCCGGGTCAGAATCTTGGTCCTGGTTCCTTTACCCTGGGGTATAGCACAGGCACACAAACAGAAGATATATACACCAGATAGTGCAAGCTCCTTAGCTTGAACCCAGATCTGTTTGTGCTGTCTTGTACAGTATGTGCATAAACCTTTTCTTCTGTAGTTCTTCTGTAGATTGCCAAATCTTAAAACTGAGACGTATTCATTAGGTAGAAAATGGACAGAAACAGGTAGGGAATACCTGAATTTGTCCGATAAGAAACTCATTTTTGTTTTAAAAATGTAAAAAAATATATTTTCTGTTGCGTACACTAATGAACACAACCGAGGGCAACATCTTATCTGGTACCTAAAACGTACTGTAACTATGTTTAACTGTAAAACACACCTTCATGGCCAAGTTGAGTCTCTCAGCAAAGAAAGCAGGCTTGCTTCCAGCACACTTCACTGAAAGACAGATAGGAAAACTAGTCAGATGACATCATAGACAAGAAGCAGCATTCTCCAAAGCTGTTGCAAGGGTATCGGAATGGCCATGAGATGACCAGTGCATTTTAGGAGTTGTAGTATAGCGAATGTGCCTTGGATAATGTGTCATCCCATCTATTAAAAAAGTTATGATCATTTTAGTCTTGAGAGACAGCGTGTGCTTTTCCTGCATGAGGAAAATGGAGGCCATAGTGTAATGTTACAGGACTGATGCCCAGTGAAGGGTGTGATACAGCAGAAGACATGGATTGAGGGTGATGCACAGATTATTTGAAGACATTGGAACATACTAGGCTGACCTGGCTGTGCTCTCTCACTACGCAGTCAGACATTCTCAATGTCTCCTTCAGTTCCAGGTCGATAGCCTTTGTCACATCCACCTACGTACTTGGAGTACCTTCAAAGCTGAGAGAGAGAGAGAGAGAGAGAGAGAGAGAGGAGAGAGAGAGGAGAGGAAGGAGTACTTGAAATTCTCACAGTATCAAATCATGTGTGGTGCACATGCGTGTATGAAAAGGGAAAACCCACGACATCTAGATTCTAGTAGCATCATCAGTGTCTAACTGATGGCAAAACAAGCACCTATGATTGGGCTACAACGTAATTAACAGGTGTGAGAAAGAAGTGTGTGTTGTGTGTGTAATTAAATAATATTTGTGGGTGCTATTTGCCTATACACATGTGTGTGTATAGACAGGTGAATGGAAGTGTTTTTGCATATACCGGAGCGTGTTGGGGTGTGTTGTGACGGGATCAGAGGGTTTGGCGGTACATCACAGTAGGATGTTAGATATTATATTCCAGAAGGCCTTCTTGAACATGGAAATTCACATAACAAAGAGAGTTTACAGCTAGAGCCAGGACAAGCACCAAGCTACACTGAGCTAGAATTTCGTAGGCTATTAAATGATCTTTGTGGTCCATGTTAGTGAAAGATGACAATTTCATTTATCAGCAGGCAGTGAGCTGCTCTGTGGTTGTCAATGAGGGATTTTTTTAAACAACAAACTAAGAATCCGTAGCTAACAAGCTACACTGGGGGTCGCAAAAGCATCTTTTTAGATGCTGCACTGGAGTAATTTTGGTCAGGGCGAGCAGACACAAGCCACTCATCTAGTGCTCTACAGGGAGCGCGCATCGATTGAAAAACAGGAACCAGAGCCGCAGCGCAAGCTCTCGCTAGCGGTGCTACCCAGGTTCGTAATGAATAGAGCTCTCACGGCAGTACGGTCAAGTAGAGGCCAGTAAGTGTTTTATGTTAATTGAGAGACTACATTAACAGAGCTTTAAACTTCTGGAAGATTGCGGACAAGAGACCAGGCAGGGTTGGGTATTTGTGTATTCTCGAAATCTAAAGGCACAACCTAGATTCGAGCCAATGTCTTAAGTAGTTGAACATGTTAATACGCCAACCTTGTGAAAGTGACAAACTGACATGTTTTCCTTTTCGTCAAAAACAACTTTATATAGAAGTAGTGCCTTTGATTTGACAGCCTGCACATGCGCAGTTCAGCGCGAGGCGACCGTTAGACCCGATGACGTGTTTCTACACATGAGCTAGCCAATGTTGCCATGACATCGCCTACAAGTGTGATTGGGGATTTCTTTTAGAGAAGCAGTTTCTGCCGATCTTCTTACTGTACTGTCTTTGTTATGGCATTTCTGCACTTTCTGGCAACCCAAAAATACTGCCGACTTGGTCGACAGGAAAGTGCCTTTCAGACCTTAAAGTCAATCTCTGTGTAGGGTATGATGTTGCAAAACGGTTTCAAATGGGCTATGATGAGAACAGAGTTTTTCTAATCAGGTCACATAGTTTTAAACTCCTGGAAAAACTATTGGCCCTATAGAGAGGATGAAAACCTGCAGCAACCTTGTACTTGTTCATATGAATTATATTTGAAAACTAGACTAACGGGGGGGGGGGGGGGGGGGGGTCAGCTACACAGGCACAAGTGCAATTAGACAATAACTAATAGGGCTGAGCTTGCTTTATGCAGGGTTGCATCATGTAGGATAATATTATACAGTGGGGAGAACAAGTATTTGATACACTGCCGATTTTGCAGGTTTTCCTACTTACAAAGCATGTAGAGGTCTGTAATTTTTATCATAGGTACAGTGAGGGAAAAAAGTATTTGATCCCCTGCTGATTTTGTACGTTTGCCCACTGACAAAGACATGATCAGTCTATAATTTTAATGGTAGGTTTATTTGAACAGTGAGAGACAGAATAACAACAAAAATAATCAAGAAAAACGCATGTCAAAAATGTTATAAATTGATTTGCATTTTAATGAGGGAAATAAGTATTTGACCCTCTCAATCAGAAAGATTTCTGGCTCCCAGGTGTCTTTTATACAGGTAACGAGCTGAGATTAGGAGCACACTCTTAAAGGGAGTGCTCCTAATCTCAGTTTGTTACCTGTATAAAATACACCTGTCCACAGAAGCAATCAATCAATCAGATTCCAAACTCTCCACCATGACCAAGACCAAAAACCTCTCCAAGGATGTCAGGGACAAGATTGAAGACCTACACAAGGCTGGAATGGCCTACAAGACCATCGCCAAGCAATCTGAAAATCTGTGGAGGGAGCTGAAGGTTCGAGTTGCCAAACGTCAGCCTCGAAACCTTAATGAGTTGGAGAAGGTCTGCAAAGAGGAGTGGAACAAAATCCCTCCTGAGATGTGTGCAAACCTGGTGGCCAACTACAAGAAAACGTCTGACCTCTGTGATTGCCAACAAGGGTTTTGCCACCAAGTACTAAGTCATGTTTTGCAGAGGGGTCAAATACTTATTTCCCTCATTAAAATGCAACTCAATTTATAAAAAATTTTACATGCGTTTTTCTGGATTTTTTTGTTGTTATTCTGTCTCTCACTGTTAAAATAAACCTAATATTAAAATGATAGACTGATCATGTCTTTGTCAGTGGGCAGACGTACAAAATCAGCAGAGGATCAAATACTTTTTTTCCCCTCACTGTACACTTCAACTGTGAGAAACAGAATCTTACAAAGCATGTAGAGGTCTGTAATCTTTATCATAGGTACACTTCAACTGTGAGAGACGGAATCTAAAACAAAAATTCCGAAAAATCACATTGTATGATTTTTAAGTAAATCATTTGCATTTTATTGCATGACATAAGTATTTGATCACCTACCAACCAGTAAAAATTCCGGCTCTCACAGACCTGTTAGTTTTTCTTTAAGAAGCCCTCCTGTTCTCCACTCATTACCTGCACCTGTTTGAACTCGTTACCTGTATAAAAGACACCTGTCCACACACTCAATCAAACAGACTCCAACCTCTCCACAATGGCCAAGACCAGAGAGCTGTGTAAGGACATCAGGGATAAAATTGTAGACCTGCACAAGGCGGGGATGGGCTACAGGACAATAGGCAAGCAGCTTGGTGAGAAGGCAACAACTGTTGGCGCAATTATTAGAAAATGGAAGAAGTTCAAGATGACGGTCAATCACCCTCGGTCTGGGGCTCCATGCAAGATCTCACCTCGTGGGGCATCAATGATCATGAGGAAAGTGAGGGATCAGCCCAGAACTACACGGCAGGACCTGGTCAATGACCTGAAGAGAGCTGGGACCACAGTCTCAAAGAAAACCATTAGTAACACACTACGCCGTCATGGATTAAAATCCTGCAGCGCACGCAAGGTCCCGCTGCTCAAGCCAGCGCATGTCCAGGCCCGTCTGAAGTTTGCCAATGACCATCTGGATGATCCAGAGGAGGAATGGGAGAAGGTCATGTGGTCTGATGAGACAAAAATATAGCTTTTTGGTCTAAACTCCACTCGCCGTGTTTGGAGGAAGAAGAAGGATGAGTACAACCCCAAGAACACCATCCCAACCGTGAAGCATGGAGGTGGAAACATTCTTTGGGGGTGCTTTTCTGCAAAGGGGACAGGACGACTGCACCATATTGAGGGGAGGATGGATGGGGCCATGTATCGCGAGATCTTGGCCAACAACCTCCTTCCCTCAGTAAGAGCATTGAAGATGGGTCGTGGCTGGGTCTTCCAGCATGACAACGACCCGAAACACACAGCCAGGGCAACTAAGGAGTGGCTCCGTAAGAAGCATCTCAAGGTCCTGGAGTGGCCTAGCCAGTCTCCAGACCTGAACCCAATAGAAAATCTTTGGAGGGAACTGAAAGTCCGTATTGCCCAGCGACAGCCCCGAAACCTGAAGGATCTGGAGATGGTCTGTATGGAGGAGTGGGCCAAAATCCCTGCTGCAGTGTGTGCAAACCTGGTCAAGACCTACAGGAAATGTATAATCTCTAATTGCAAACAAAGGTTTCTGTACCAAATATTAAGTTCTGCTTTTCTGATGTATCAAATACTTATGTCATGCAATAAAATGCAAATTAATTACTTAAAAATCATACAATGTGATTTTCTGGATTTTTGTTTTAGATTACGTCTCTCACAGTTGAAGTGTACCTATGATAAAAATTACAGACCTCTACATGCTTTGTAAGTAGGAAAACCTGCAAAATCGGCAGTGTATCAAATACTTGTTCTCCCCACTGTATATATTATTTTAATTACAGAGATGTATATAGATATACAGTACCAGTCAGAAGTTTGGACACACCTACTCATTCAAGGGTTTTTCTTTATTTTTACTATTTTCTGCATTGTAGAATAACAGTGAAGACATCAAAACTATGAAATAACACATATGGAATCATGTAGTCTCACAGACACGGCGGTTGGAACCAAAAATCTCAAATTTGGACTCATCAGGCCAAAGGACATATTTTCACCAGTCTAATGTCCATTGCTTGTGTTTCTTGGCCCAAGCAAGTCTCTTCTTAATATTGGTGTCCTTTAGTAGTGGTTTCTTTGCAGCAATTCGACCATGAAGAGGTCCTCTGTAGCTCAGCTGGTAGAGCACGGCGCTTGTAACGCCAAGGTAGTGGGTTCGATCCCCGGGACCACCCATACACAAAAAAAAAAATGTATGCACGCATGACTGTAAGTCGCTTTGGATAAAGCGTCTGCTAAATGGCATATTATTATATTATATTATTATGAAGGCCTGATTCACGCAGTCTCCTCTGAACAGTTGACGTTGAGATGTGTCTGTTACTTGAACTCTGTGAAGCATTTATTTCAAATTCCACAAATTAAATTTTAACAAGGCACACCTGTTAATTGAAATGCATTCCAGGTGACTACCTCATGAAGCTGGTTGAGAGAATGCCAAGAGTGTGCAAAGCTGTCATCAAGGCAAAGGGTGGCTACTTTGAAGAATCTCAAATATATTTTGATTTGTTTAACTGTTTTTTGGTTACTACATGATTCCATATGTGTTATTTCATAGTTTTGATGTCTTTAATATTATTCTACAATGTAGAAAATAGTAAAAATAAAGAAAAACCCTGGAATGAGTAGGTGTGTCCAAACCTTTGACTGGTACTGTATATAATAAAAAAGTTACAGGTGCATTAACACAGTCTACCTATGTCATCACTACTTGTTTTGTTTAATTACAGTCAATATTTTTTTTAAACTAGCCAACCAAAGTTGGAATATATATAGTTTTATCACATTCACATTTTCTCTTAACACAAATAAATTGGCTTAGGCTATAAATACATAACGTTACCACTTCGTTTCCCCAGGCCAGTTGGGACAGGGTGCATATGTAGGCTACCGTTGGTCAGACTGATACAGCATGGCAGGTCGCTAATGTTTAGATGTAGGCTGCTACAACATTTCTGTAAAGAGTTTTTGCTTGCGTCTGTGGTGAGTTCTTTTCCCGTTTGCTAAAATAATACCAGAGGAAAGTGAGCGCTTGCTCTGCTTTCTATAGACGTGCACCATACCCGACCTGTGATTTCTGTGAATCTGATTGGTCAAGACACACACACGACAACTTGCAGCACTCTGACGAGAAGGACATAGGCTACTAATTGTGCGTGAGTTGACGAATTATGAGGCAAGGCAAGTCAGTCACAAAAAACGTTTGGCCTACTTTGTCCCTGTTTAATGCTTTTGAGTCAATATTTTTTTATTAAACCAAATAAAAAAAATGCTGGGGCAAATGCCTGCTTGCCACACGTTTGCCGGCGGCCCTGCTCTGACCATTACCGATAACAGGGGAGGTTAGCATTTTTGGGGGGTATGATATTTATGCCTCCAACTTTCTCACTCATCATTATTCACAATTAATTCATTACTATCCGTAATCCTGGTAGCATCCACATTAATGTACTGGTCAGTATATAGATAATCTTTGCTACCGCAGATTTTTGGGAAGATATAGCTATGGACAACGGCAAAAGTATTGCTACAGCTCTCAACAACATTGCTGCCCTGAATTGAGCATTTACGTGTGAATTCTTAAAGAGATGGGTGGGCCTAAGTGGTTTTACAAGTTTATGAACATTCAAAGCAGCATAACTTTCCATGTTTCAATTAGACTTAAGCTTACATAAAGCTGTGCCATCACATATTCACCTTGGCGGAGCTGAGGAGCACTTCTGGTGGTCAGAATGTCTATGAAGACAGAGCAGTCCGTTCCCTTCTTCTTCTCTCCAGCCTCATACAGGGCCTATGGACCGATAGAGTAGGCACAGGCATCACACACACAGGGATTGCATTACACATTGACGTCTTAAATTCTCACACATACAGACACAAACACACTCCCTCTCTCTCTCTCTTTCCTCCATACCCTGGCATCACTGTCAGCAAGTTCCTGGTTCACCATCGTGTCCTCATTCCTAGTAGCCTACAGAGAGAGGGGGGAGTGAGGTCAATTGTGCCAAACTATTCATCCGAGGTTAAACAAGCAATAAATAAAACACACACACCTTGCAGAGCGAGAGCAGAGCATTCCTGAAGTCTCCACTTGTGTCAGACTTGATGTCATTCTCCAGCTCCTTTTTGTATTCTAGCAAGAAAAAAGCCATGATTGTTGGCACGTTGTAACTATCACCTCAACGTACAGGACATTTACATATTAAGGACACACCTTCCTTATAGGCTTTCTTTATCTCTCTGATCTCTTTATTGGTCCTGGAGGCCAGAATCTCAACCAGAATATCCTCATCTGTGCCCAATCCCTGTGAGAGAGAGATAGGTGAGAGGGGAGGGGTGTGAAGGGTCAACAAGGCCAAAAGGGTCACATCAGTCATAAAGCTGAGACAAAAGAGCCCAGGATCGGATGACAAACACAAAGAGCAGGGCCATGTTCATTATGCCCCAAACGGAACAAAACAGACTGAAACAGGGGACTACCTGCACTTACAGGTCTACCGCTATACCAGACACTGCCAAGCTAGCATATAATGTTCTGAGAACCATATGTTTCTTAGAGCTTGGTGAGAGCGTGGTTATCCTATGGTTATTTAGCATACAACCTTCCGGGAATGGAGCAGGATAGTTGCTTGGCTTTGGAACATTCTCAGCACATTTAAGAAACTTCACAACAAAATATAATTCCATTGATCGAGAACAAAAGATCATAGGTTCAAATCTCACTGACTCTGTGCCAAAATAAAAAAACATATTTGTTTGCATTATTAATGCTTAAGCAAATGAATTTCCATGTGTCCCATCTGTGCTTGGAATTCAAAACAGCCAACCCAAACTAAGCTAGCAGTGTTATTAAAAGTCTTATTAAAACATGTTTGTTTTCAGAACATTATTTAATAACTTTCAAATAACCTATAATTTTCATTCTCAGAATGTTCATAAAACCTCCCAGGAAAACTTTCAGGGAACCATAGGAAAACATTCCCAGAACCTCCCTGCAACTGTTTTACCAGTCAGGAAACTTATGGCTTCGTTCCCAGAACCTATGGGAAACCAAAAACGTACATTCTCACAACTTCCAAGGAACCAAATGTGCTAGTTGGGCTCACACACACGCTGCACATGCACAGAGTTGTGTATCGTTAAACCTAAAGTACAGTAGGTACTCATCACCACTTTTCTTACCGTCTCCTCACATTAAAACAGTCCCACCCCATTGTACAAAGCAGACAGACAGTCCCACCCATTTTAAAAGTCCCATTATTACACAACACAATAATAAAGCAGAATGAGTCACTATGGGTAGGGTGTTAGGAAGTGGGTGGGTGGGTCTGACTAAACAGCAGAACAAGAATACATGACGACGTCATCACAGCTTCCTCTTTAGAAGCGAGTCATTACTCTTTAAATATTTGTATTATACATTGCTCCAAAAAATTAAGGGAACACTAAAATAACACATCTTAGATCTTAAATGAATGAAATAAACTTATTAAATACTTTTTTCTTTACATAGTTGAATGTGCTGACAACAAAATCACACAAAAATTATCAATGGAAATCAAATGTATCAACCCATGGAGGTCTGGATTTGGAGTCACCCTCAAAATTTAAGTGGAAAACCACACTACAGGCTGATCCAACTTTGATGTAATGTCCTTAAAACAAGTCAAAATGAGGCTCAGTAGTGTGTGTGGCCTCCACGTGCCTGTATGACCTCCCTACAACGCCTGGGCATGCTCCTGATGAGGTGGCGGATGGTCTCCTGAGGGATCTCCTCCCAGACCTGGACTAAAGCATCCGCCAACTCCTGGACAGTCTGTGGTGCAACGTGGCGTTGGTGGATGGAGCGAGACATGATGTCCCAGATGTGCTCAATTGGATTCAGGTCTGGGGAACGGGTGGGCCAGTCCATAGCATCAATGCCTTCCTCTTGCAGGAACTGCTGACACACTCCAGCCACATGAGGTCTAGCATTGTCTTGCATTAGGAGGAACCCAGGGCCAACCGCACCAGCATATGGTCTCACAAGGGGTCTGAGGATCTCATCTCGGTACCTAATGGCAGTCAGGCTACCTCTGGCGAGCACATGGAGGGCTGTGCGGCCCCCCAAAGAAATGCCACCCCACACCATGACTGACCCACCGCCAAACCGGTCATGCTGGAGTATGTTGCAGGCAGCAGAACGTTCTCCACGGCGTCTCCAGACTCTGTCACGTCTGTCACATGTGCTCAGTGTGAACCTGCTTTCATCTGTGAAGAGCACAGGGCGCCAGTGGTGAATTTGCCAATCTTGGTGTTCTCTGGCAAATGCCAAACGTCCTGCACGGTGTTGGGCTGTAAGCACAACCCCCACCTGTGGACGTTGGGCCCTCATACCACCCTCATGGAGTCTGTTTCTGACCGTTTGAGCAGACACATGCACATTTGTGGCCTGCTGGAGGTCATTTTGCAGGGCTCTGGCAGTGCTCCTGCTGCTGGGTTGTTGCCCTCCTACGGCCTCCTCCACGTCTCCTGATGTACTGGCCTGTCTCCTGGTAGCGCCTCCATGCTCTGGACACTACGCTGACAGACACAGCAAACCTTCTTGCCACAGCTCGCATTGATGTGCCATCCTTGATGAGCTGCACTACCTGAGCCACTTGTGTGGGTTGTAGACTCCGTCTCATGCTACCACTAGAGTGAAAGCACCGCCAGCATTCAAAAGTGACCAAAACATCAGCCAGGAAGCATAGGAACTGAGAAGTGGTCTGGTCACCACCTGCAAAACCAGTCCTTTATTGGGGGTGTCTTGCTAATTGCTTATAATTTCCACCTGTTGTCTATTCCATTTGCACAACAGCATGTGACATTTATTGTCAATCAGTGTTGCTTCCTAAGTGGACAGTTTGATTTTACAGAAGTGTGATTGTCTTGGAGTTACATTGTGTTGTTTAAGTGTTCCCTTTATTTTTTTGAGCAGTGTATATGTTACCGTCTCTAGGCCACCCGAACAGAGGGTAAGATTTGTTTGTATTCTAAGTAATATTGTATATTCTGAGTAGTAGTGAGTGAGTGAGTGCATGTGTACCTTCATGGCCAGTTTGAGCTGTTGGGCGTCATATTGGGCTGGCGTTTTGAGCAGTGCCAGAACCACATCCTCCAGCTCTCCATTTAGGGCTGACTTCAGGGCAGTCTCCAGAGGCTGAAGATAGAGGGATGATACACACTTCCACAGTCATACACAAGTCTGTGTGTTTTAGCTTTCCAGGTGCCCCAGGTGGCTGGAGTTTGCATGTTTATCATCATTCCATTGGTCTTAAAGTGCGAATTCCACCCACGCACAGCCACCCGCACATGCTAAACCAAACGCACCTAGTGCGTGTCCCATCTTACCTTGCCACTAGCCTTTTGGTAGCTAGCTTTGATCTGCTGTCTCTGGGCATTGCTCCTCTTCACCAGCACATCAATGATGGTGTTCTCATCTACACCTACGTCACAGAGACAAAATGGAAGGACTTGTTCAATAGACGGGTTGGCTGACAACGTCACAAAAATGATGAGCGTGCATCGGTGTGGCCAGAAGGTGTGCGTTGTTATGATTCTGAACGGTCAGATAGCTAGCAACAATTACAAAAAGCTATCATGTGGGGAATCGTAGGTGTCTCGTTTCATCTCATTGTAGCTTGTTATTTAATTTAAATTTAATTTATTGATACCATGTGTTTTGAAGTTTTTTGACTAATGTCTTGTCTATGCTAATATGGCTAAAATTTGCTAGATAGCTAACCAACAACTTCAACAATGTATTTGAGAGACATTGAGAAGAAATATAGCCAACCCCGTCTGTTTGGCCACATAGTTGTGCACTCGTTGGTTTTGTTGCTAAACAACCAACCAGTCTCTAGGAAACACTGTTACCTACCCTAATCCATGAGCCCTTATCCATTTTTTGACTAATACAAAAAAATCTGTGTGGCCCCAGGCTTACCGTGAGAAACCTCTGACTACTCCCCAGCAAGAGACAATAAAAACACGGACCCGGACACATACACACAAGCTCACATTCCCTCAGAATGTCCCCCTATGCTGCCTCATGTTACACGCCGAGTGAGTTCTATTCAACTGAGCTGCTCTGCTATGAAACACATACACACATGTGTTTGTGTGTGTGTAAACCTCACCTTTGGCCTTGATGGCCTTATCCAAGATGCCTGCATCCCCTTCAGCACTGAAATGCGGGTAAGGAGTCACAGTGCCCTGATTGAGTAAGGTCTGAGAGAGAGAACAATTTAACTTAGCTGCCATGCAGTGAATCAATGAATACCTTCACAAAATGTAGAAAATAGTTTAGAAGCAAAGGGAGGAACATCCCATACAACACCATACAAGGAATAGGGATAGAGGGGGAAAGAGAAGGAGTTCGTTGTTTCGTTTCTAATGTTTCTGAACCCTAGGGCTTCACCTACTAAATTCCTTTATGAATCAAGTATGGTCATCCCTCTCTCCTCCCATGACTCTATCTCTCAGACTGACCCTCTTTCTCTACCCTCAACATCCATCACTTTTGCTCTCACTCTGTCCTCTCCCCGTCCCCCTCCCCTCTATCTGGCTAGAAATGTACAAACACAGCCTGGTCAGTTTTTACACACATGCATACCACAAGAGGGAAAAAATTGCATATTTAAGGCTATCCCTCAAGCAAGTGGAACAGAACCCTACCATGTCATCGGGCATGCCCAGATAGACGGTCTGCTGCAGGAAGGCAGCAACGAAGGACATGGTGGCACGGGTCTGCAGAGAAAGAGGAACAGGGGGATTCAGTAATAACCACAGTACAGTATTAAATATCCTCTGTATTGAACAGCAAAGTATATTGCATTTCTTAAATAATTGGTTGAAAGGCTCATTATTTGATGCCAGAATATGCTACAGTAACAGACCATGCATATATTTTGTCAAACTGTATTTCATGGACTCATCCCCAACACAAAAGTAAACCATGCCTCTGCCTATGATTGGCTGCCACATATTGGCTAATCATCATTCCATAGAATACAACTATATGCCTAGAACAACTGGATAGAAATGTGTATTTGAGGCTGCACAGATAATTTATTTGTCACTGCAGAACAAACCGCCCCAATCTATTTCACAATGTTAGCAACAAATCTGGTGATGACCACGCCTAACTGGAATCATGTAAAACTCACTAAAAGCTTTAACCGCTTCCTCACTTTTACTCAGTTAGTTCACAATGGTTTTCAAGACACAACAGGATCTGCTCACTGATGTATATGGATCTGTTACAGAAAATAATTAATCCAAAAATAATTCTGAAATGTCACTACTACGCCACAGCCACACTGGCTACCTAATCTGAACGACGTGAATGACACAGAAACCGGGATGTACGCACGGTAAAGTTCCCTAGGGTAACGTTACACTGCATTTAGAATGTATTCATACAGCGGGGAAGTTAGTTTCCCATCTAAACACGGTTTCAAAGTCCCAAAAAAGGAGAGAAGTGAACAAATTATTGTTACCTAGGATTGGAAGTCGAAGTGCTCAATTTCCTGGAGAAGGTCTATTGAATAAAAAATGGGATATCTTACCAGCTAGACAAAGGTAGGGACTGTGAAATTTTCTCAGACTGAGATTGTAGGAGGGTTGGGAATTTGCACACTCATGCATTTATATACACGAAAAACCCCACCTAGCAACGGTGCATTCCGCACTCGCTCGACGCTACCATTGGACAGGCACTGCTGTTTGCAAGACTGCGTAAACGTTTCCATGCAGCGCAATAAAGTTGTCAGTAAATTAATAGCAGCCATGTAAAAAAAAAAAAAAAAAATGATAGCCCTGACACAATTTGGTTACATTAAAACAGATGTAGGGGCGGCAGGTAGCTTAGTGGTTAAGAGCGTTGTGCCGGTAACCGAAAGGTCGCTGGTTCTAATCCCCGAGCTGACTAGGTGAAAAATCTGTCGATGTGCCCTTGAGCAAGGCACTTAACCCTAATTGCTCCTGTAAATCGCTCTGGATAAGAGTGTCTGCTAAATTACTAAAATATAAATGTAATGTAGAATGTTTAGTAAGGTTCCTTCTTGAGTCGATGTTAACAAATTCAATATTTAATGTAGACACTACATTGAAGTAAAATGTGATTGCTGGACATAATAGACTGTAAAAACACCAGGAAATCAGCTCCAAGTGATTTTAATTTAAGAAATCTGTTGCCAAGTATTCCCACGCATATTAGAGAGACACGTGATTGTATACCAATATAAGCAAGGCTTGAAATGATTATGTTTTAGTCAAATATTATATCTGTTTGGACTTCTTGTGGTCAATTTGCAGTCTACGTTCCAGCCCCCCGACCATCCGCTCAAGAAAAAATCTGCTGGCGGCTGAATCTAGTTGATTATCCCTGCTGTAAAGCTTTAAAACATGGTTACAACTTTCATGTATAATCCTCCTTTGAGGCTGGCGGTAAAGAGTGCCTCAAAGGTGTGGTTAACTAGCTACCTCCTGTGGTTGTCAAGGCCACAAGTCTGAGACCTGATGCTACCTGTAAATTGCCTGCTGAGCTTGTGCCTGCCTGTGTCAATGTTTTTTTAAGAGTTACCTACATATTTGTTTGGTTTGATACATCTCTATACATTAGTGAAAGGAAACAGCCCTTTTTCACTGCTCTTTGCAGACACTGCCTCATTGAAAACACCTCAAATTCCTGCGCATGATGAATGCCTGTCCATCCACACCTGTACCACACCTCTAGCAGGCAACCAGCAGACTCCGCCCACTGATCTGCTCAAGCTTACACTCTTACAAAAAAGGGTTCCAAAAGGGTTCGGCTGTCCCCATAGGAGAACCCTTTTTGGTTCCAGGAACAACCCTTTTGGGTTCCCTCTGTGACATTGAACCCAAAAGGGTTCTACCTGGAACCAAAAGGCTTTTACCTAGTACCAAAAAGGGTTCTACAAAGGGTTCTCCTATGGGGACAGCCAAATAACCCTTTTAGGTTCTAGATAGCACATTTTTAGGTTCTAGATAGGTCTATGGTGTACGTGAAACCAAACACACCTGGTTATCTTTGCTGTAGGCCTATCATCCGTGACTATGCGAACAGTGATTCCCAGAGATCCTCCTTTGAGGCTGGCGGTAAAGAGTGCCTCAAGGGTGTGGTTTACTAGCTATCTCCTGTGGTTGTCTAGGCCACAAGACTGTCTGGGACCTGACGCTACCTATAAGCTACCTGTCCAACTTGTTTGAACATTCCATGCTTTATACAATGGAGACGTTTGGACAAGTTACTCAGAAAGAGTAGGCTACAACCTCTACAAAGCATGCACATATTATAGTCTACCTCCAGTGCTGTAATATTGTAATCAGATTACAGATACTTTTGAAAAAGTAGATGATTAATTATTGGATTACTTTTGAACTCAGAAAGGATGCTTTTTTGTTGTTGACCAAATTGTATTTATTTACAGGTACAATATTTAAATTAATATCATTTAATATCATATTCCATATATTTTCGATTCATTATTTCAAACATTGTACCTGTGGGCTGCCACTCAGAATAAGGAAATAAGAAGAGAAAATAAAAGAGAGAAAAAACATTACAAAAGGTAAAACTACAAAGTATTGATCATTGTTATCATATTTTAAGTTTAAGTAATAAATTCAGTATTTACAGGAAAACAAAACAAAAAAGAAGTGAACCTTCACCCCTAACCTCCCATCCCATTCCCACCCAGCCAACATGTCTCCATCCAACCCTCAATTAATCTGGGAATGGACTCTACAATGTGTCGAAAGCATTCAACAGGGATGCTGGCCCATGTTGACTCCAATGCTTCCCACAATTGTGTCAAGTTGGCTGGATGTCCTTTGGATAGTGGACCATTCTTGATACACACGGGAAACTGTTGAGGGTGAAAAACCCAGCAGCGTTGCAGTTCTTGACACAAACCGTTGCACCTGGCACGTACTACCATACCCCGTTCAAAGGCACTTAAATATGTTGTCTTGCCCATTCACCCTCTGAATGGCACACATATACAATCCATGTCTCAATTGTCTCAAGGCTTAAAGATTATTCTTTAACCTGTCTCCTCCCCTTCATCTACACTGATTGAAGTGGATTTAACAAGTGACATCAATAAGGGATCGTAGCTTTCCCCTGGATTCACCTGGTTAGTCTATGTCATGGAAAGAGCAGGCTCATAATGTTTTGTACACTCATTTCATGCAATTCAAAATGAATTTTGTAACTTTTCCCCAGACGCTGCAGAGTTTAACTGCAAGGGCACTCCCACATCATATGAAGGAATGTGCCTACTTGATTTAGGGGACACAATTTCATCGTAAAACATTTCCTTGGTTTTAAATACAGCATGTGAACAAATTTAAAATGTATAAATTGATGGTTGGGATTAAGGGATGCCAAGATCATATTTTTATATATTATCTTCCACTTAAAGGGTTGTTCAGATCCAATTAGATCTGTAGACCATACTTTTTAAAATGACATTTCAACAATCTTCAACTTCATATTCATCATCTCCGGCACCACCCCAACATCAACATATGTGAAAATGGCGCATTTCTATGTTTTGTAGTAAAAAAGAAAGAGGAAGATAAGTGTTTCCAATGGCATCGTCAACCAATTAGTAGACAATTAGCTGGCAATTAGTAGGCAATGCCTACTCATAATTGGTTAAAATCACACAATGCACACCAATGATGTAATTGGAAACACTTATCTTCCTCTATTGTTTTACTACAAAACATAGAAACGCACACTTTCACATATGTTGATGTTGGGGTGGTGCTGGAGATGGAGATTGTGAATATGAAGTATAAACATTTGGAAATATTCCTTTAATGGCTAGCTCAGAATATGAGCTTTCCAAAAGTTGTTTATATATTATAGAGATCAGTCATTTCGGGAGCCCAGATAATTTATTTATAAATCCCATCATTGGATGGTTCAGTAGTTGGGGGGTCCAAGGGACTCCAGAGGTAAGCATAGCTGACCTAAGTTGTAAAAATAGAAAAAAGGAGTGGCCTGGTAATGTGTATGTATCTTTTAAATCTTGGAATGATCTCAAACAATTACTGTCCATGATATCGGCAAGGATACGGATTCCACATTTGGATGATTGGGGGGATGCAAAAGGCATTCTTGTGAAATATTGGAGTATGGTCATACCATTTTGATTCCCAGTTACATTGTTTTTTACATTTGCGCCAAATAGAAATTGTGTGAGCAATAATAGGACCAAAGCGTATTTTACATTGTTTAAGGGATATATTAGTGAAGACCACATATTCCAGGGCAATAGGAGACATCATATTTCTCTCTATACTTAGCCAGAGAGCAGAAGAATCATGTCCAAACCAATTTAGGATGGGACGAAATGCTAGTGCTTGGAAATACAATTTAGAGTTTAGTATGGATAGACCTCCTACGTCTTTCCCTCTTTGCAAGTTTGTTAATTTTATCTGGGCTCGCTTACTTTGCCATATACATTTTGAAACTGCACTATGGGTTTTATCACAACAGCCAGAAGGGGGAGACAAGGGAAGCATTGAAGTACAACAATTCAGCCGTAGCAATATATTAATTTTTAGAATAGATATTCTGCCGGATAAAGCAACTGGGATATTAGTCCATCTACTGAGGTCGGATTGAATTGATTTTAGCGGTCTGTTAAAGTTTATGGCAAAGTTTTTTTTATCGACTGAATTTTTGTTAATTATTATGAATTAATTCAATTCAGTTTCACATTTTTCACAGAAAGTAGGATTTAGTAGTAAGGAAACATTAAAGCGCAATCTTGTGGCTCTTTTAGGAGGTTCTGAAATGTGTATCTGGCAGTAATAAGCATTATGATCAGATAGGCTCATAATTATGTTGAATTTCTATTTTCTTGATTAAAGAAAATGTGTTTTGGGAAAAATACATTTTGACACCTTTCTGGTTTCTCAATTACATTTAATTCAGCATTGAAAAAAGGCACAACTTTAAGTTTGTTCCACCCGAGCGAGTCTGACCACAAGTCAGAGACCACTATGATGACTTCTTCTAATGCCTCTTAAGGGGAAAGTAATCCAAAAGTAACTGAAACTAATCAGATTAAGTTGCTGAGTTTGGGTAATCCAAAAATTACATTACTGATTACAATTTTAGACAGGTAACTAGTAACTGTAATGGATTACATTTAGAAAGTAACCTACCCAATCCTGTCTACCTACCTATTCCATCATCAAAATAACTTGGTCACTTGTATCATGGCTTAATCGACTCCATGAAAACAGAAGCTATTAATAACCAATCAAACAGATTAAAGAATATGCCGCCTGAGTGTTATAAGAATCATTACTGAAGACAAAATGATCAATGATCAGTTATAATAATCAGTTATCTCAGCAGGGTTGTTGTGAGAAGCTCTGTCGCCCTGAGTAACAAGACTGCATCAGAGATAAAGTGAAGTAACTTTCACCGTCAGTTACAATCAAAGAGGAGAACACTGAGATTGCAGAGGCACAGCTGTGGATGGTCAGTCGTTGCATCCATTTCTCTGTCTATGAATTTGAAAGTGGATACATTTCTCCACCCACCCAAGCTGTTTACCAAAAAGTGGTGGGGTGTCTGCTTTGTTGTTGTTTGAATCCCAGATTGCCCCTTTAATGGACAGATATATTTTCTGAAAACACCTAATTGGACAGAATAAGGGGCACACCTCCCTACACCCAGCAGCAAAAGACCAATTAACATTTTGTAATCACTGCATCCTCACTTTTGTAACTGCAGTAGTGCAGTCATTTTGTAGTTAAACTGCAGTTAAACTGTAGTTATTTTGCAGTTACAGTGCAGTACATACTGCACAGTGGCGACCCGTCATTCAGGGCAGAGCCCCACCTGTTTTGAGCCACATCTTTAGCAAAAACAAAGAAAAAAAAGAAAACACTTATTTTTTGGGGGGGTTGCCTGTTTTGCATGTTATTTTGGCATTAATACGTGTCACATATCAGTTTGCAAACAATGTAAAATATCTATATATATATTCATTGAGTTAATAAAGCTGCATACAAACATGGACAAAATTTGCCCACGAAGGACCGCCGCGCCACCTTCCTGTTCAAGTGAGCACAGCACAACAAGGTGAGTCCAAAAATGTATTGTATGCTGCTGCATAAATTATGTAATATGCCAGGGAGATACAGTGAGGGAAAAAAGTATTTGATCCCCTGCTGATTTTGTACGTTTGCCCACTGACAAAGAAATTATCAGTCTATAATTTTAATGGTAGGTTTATTTGAACAGTGAGAGACAGAATAACAACAAAATAATCCAGAAAAACGCATGTCAAAAATGTTATAAATTGATTTGCATTTTAATGAGGGAAATAAGTATTTGACCCCTCTGAAAAACATGACTTATTACTTGGTGGCAAAACCCTTGTTGGCAATCACAGAGGTCAGACGTTTCTTGTAGTTGGCCACCAGGTTTGCACACATCTCAGGAGGGATTTTGTCCCACTCCTCTTTGCAGATCTTCTCCAAGTCATTAAGGTTTCGAGGCTGACGTTTGGCAACTCGAACCTTCAGCTCCCTCCACAGATTTTCTATGGGATTAAGGTCTGGAGACTGGCTAGGCCACTCCAGGACCTTAATGTGCTTCTTCTTGAGCCACTCCTTTGTTGCCTTGGCCGTGTGTTTTGGGTCATTGTCATGCTGGAATACCCATCCACGACCCATTTTCAATGCCCTGGCTGAGGGAAGGAGGTTCTCACCCAAGATTTGACGGTACATGGCCCCGTCCATCGTCCCTTTGATGCGGTGAAGTTGTCCTGTCCCCTTAGCAGAAAAACACCACCAAAGCATAATGTTTCCACCTCCATGTTTGAAGGTGGGGATGGTGTTCTTGGGGTCATAGGCAGCATTCCTCCTCCTCCAAACACGGCGAGTTGAGTTGATGCCAAAGAGCTCCATTTTGGTCTCATCTGACCACAACACTTTCACCCAGTTCTCCTCTGAATCATTCAGATGTTCATTGGCAAACTTCAGACGGGCATGTATATGTGCTTTCTTGAGCAGGGGGACCTTGCGGGCGCTGCAGGATTTCAGTCCTTCACTGCGTAGTGTGTTACCAATTGTTTTCTTGGTGACTATGGTCCCAGCTGCCTTGAGATCATTGACAAGATCCTCCCGTGTAGTTCTGGGCTGATTCCCCACCGTTCTCATGATCATTGCAACTCCACGAGGTGAGATCTTGCATGGAGCCCCAGGCCGGGGGAGATTGACAGTTATTTTGTGTTTCTTCCATTTGCGAATAATCGCACCAACTGTTGTCACCTTCTCACCAAGCTGCTTGCCGATGGTCTTGTAGCCCATTCCAGCCTTGTGTAGGTCTACCATCTTGTCCCTGACATCCTTGGAGAGCTCTTTGGTCTTGGCCATGGTGGAGAGTTTGGAATCTGATTGATTGATTGCTTCTGTGGACAGGTGTCTTTTATACAGGTAACAAGCAGAGATTAGGAGCACTCCCTTTAAGAGTGTTATCTAAGCAGGGTTGTTGTGACAAGCGCTGTCTCTCTGAGTAACAAGACTGCATCAGAGATAATAATAAATAACTTTCCTTGGCAGTTACAATCAAAGAGGATATGACTGAGATTGCAGAGGCAGTCAGGCCGATGATGGCTCGCCAAATGCAACATTCCACAGCTGTGGATGGTCAGTCCTTGCATCCATTGCTCTGTCTACGAATTTAAAAGTGGATACATTTCTACACCTCCTCAGGGCAATATCGGTATACATTTTACAAATAGGGAGGTTCAGGACCCTCGTAAGACATAGTAAAATGGAGGGATGTATTGCAAAAGGAAATAGTAAAATGCCATTATACTGGGAAAGATGGGTTAATCTGTGGACATCGGAGGGTTGGAGTTAAGAACAGAATGAATGGTTTGTTGGCCACTGGGGGTGAGAATCCAGCACTTGAAGAAAGAGGAAATTGGGAATATATGTATAATTATTTAACTACAGGTATGGTAGATGTGAGCGAAATAGCTGTAAGTAGCAGTAGAAGTATTGTTGTCCGTTAGTTTACTTCAATTTAGGAATGGAAGGGTAGGGTAGGGGGGAGTATAGAGAAAATAAAAATTATAATAAGGGGGATTAGAAATGATGGAAACAATTACGTTGATAGACCCTACAATCTATCTGCAAAATCAATGGATATTTTGTATCAATGATCAGTTATAATGATCAGTTATCTCAGCAGGGGTGTTGTGAGAAGCTCTGTCTCTCTTAGTAACAAGACTGCATCAGAGATAAAGTGAAATAACTTTTTACTGGCAGTTACAATCCAAGAGGATGAGACTGAGATTGCAGAGGCAGTCAGGCTGATGACGGCTTGCCAAACACATCATCCTATAGCTGTGGCCCTTGGAGAGTTTTGTGCCACCCTTACTTGCTAGATCCTTGGCAGGGAGGCAGGTAGCCTAGCGATTAGAACTTTAGGGCCAGTAACCTAAAGGTTGCTGGTTTGAATACCCAAGCCGACAAAGTGAAAATCTGTTGATGTGCCCTTGAGCAAGGCACTTAATCCTAATTTGCTCCAGGGTCGCTGTACTACTACTATGACTGACCCTGTAAAACAACACATTTCACTGCACCTATCCAGTGTGTACACTGAGTATACCAAACATTAGGAACACCTTTTGCCTTCGGAACAGCCTCAATTCTTCGGGGCATGGACTCTACAAGGTGTCGAATGCGTTCCACAGGGATGCTGGCCCATGTTGACTCCAATGCTTCCCACAGTTGTGTCAAGTTGACTGGATGACCTTTAGGTGGTGGACCAGTGTTTTGAATACTCAGTGTATATGGCAATACAATATATTTACATATGTATGTGTGCCTGGCATGCACTGTCAACTGTGAGTGAGTGAGTGAGTGCGTGAGTGCGTGAGTGAGTGAGTGAGTGAGTGAGTGAGTGAGTGAGTGAGTGAGTGAGTGAGTGACTGGTGACTGACTGACTGACAGGTCTGTATCTGTCTGCCAGGCTATGGATGTCCTCTGGGAATTTTGGGTAGTGGAAGCGGTAGCAGGGATGCTATTAGTCATTTCCTGCCGAGTCAGGATGTTCATTAAAAAGGCATCAATATGGATTTAGGGCATCTGGGTTATATCAGATGCTTTGCTGGTGCTCTTACCCTTTGTGCCTTTCAATTCAGATCTTTAGATGACGCATGGGTGGTTTCATACGTTTTTTCCTGACCAGAAAAACTTGATTACTGGAAATCTTACAGATTGTGGTTTTAAAGTCACTAACAGTCATCTGACCCTCCTGTTAGCCAGGTCACACTCTGTTTCTGCTCTGGACAACTCTGCTGTTGTTTGGCATGACACCAACCACAGCAACAACAATAACAAAGTTGGCGAAAGTTACTATTCATAAAGCATCTCAGACTATGGACAGTGGGGACCTGATCCTACATTTTAGCAGACGCTCTTATCCAGAGCAATTAGGGTAAAAGCACATCAACCGATTTTACATTTAGTCAGCTCAGGGATTCAAACCAGCGTCCTTTCGGTTACTGGCCCAACACTCTTAACCGCTAGGCTACCTGCCGCCTTACTTTGAGATGCTTTGTGAATACGAGCTGTGATCCGACCTAGACCGTGGTGGTGGTAAGTGGGGTCCATGGGTTAGATAGAAAACATCTAGTTACAATCTCTATCTCACACACTGGAAACCGATGTCTGTTTGGAGTACGTCCTCCGCAGCGAACGGGGCAAGCTAATACCAAAGTGGTAAAACCCCATCTCTAAAGTTAAATATTTAAAGAGTTTGGAGAGTTTGGGTCCCCAGAAAAGTGAGCAGCGTTCCAGTTTTTCCCTCTCCCTACCTGAACAGCAGCAGGTCTCCAACATCGCCACAGCAGGGATCTGCTCTAAAATAAGGTGCCAATTTACAATCAATCCAATATTTGATTTGATTTGATTGTTTTATTATAACGACGCCAGGACAGCGGAGTCACTCACCACCTTCCTGAGACACTTGAAACCCCACCTCTTTAAGGAATACCTGGGATAGGATAAAGTAATCCTTCTACCCCCGCTTACCCCACCCCAAAGAGAAAATAAAAAATGTATAATAATTGTAAAGTGGTTGTCCCACTGGCTATCATAAGGTGAATGCACCAATTTGTAAGTCGCTCTGGATAAGAGCGTCTGCTAAATGACGAAAATGAAAAAATGAAAAATGAAATTGTGACGCTTCATTTAGCTTAATGTCATTGATAAGCTAAATGTGTGAACGGATCTCATACTGTAGTTGAGTGACAGTAGGCCTACAAGTACAGATCAAAAGTATTAGACTGTGTAGGTTATTGATCATAGTATTTGAAAATGTCCTATTGCAATGTGAATCACTTCAAGCATAAAGACATTGTAACTGTATTACGCTAAATGATATGGAGAGAACTCCATGACTGGAATATCTTGCATTTCCACAGAGCCTCTCTAGGACTCCGCATGCAATCTTATGTGGTTCTGGACCAACCTCAGTGTAAAGTAGCTTAGGCTAGCTGGTGAGATAGACATTTGTACTTCATTCACTGGGTGAATATGCTCTGTGAGCTGTTGGACATCTCCAGAATGCTCTGAGCTTGATAAATGTGTGATGCTATTTTTGTTGTTTCTGCGTAGACAGAAAAACAGTTAGTGTAAACTCCTGTCTTGCATGCATACACACACACACACACACACACACACACACACACACACACACACACACACACACACAGTTGCAAAGGTTATGAAGGGTATGAGTGTGTCGTGTAATCAAATGATGGTCTTTGTATAATAGGCATTGCATGTGGTTTTGTCATTAATCTACCGTTATACCTGTTGTGCAGCTTAGGGACAGGGATCAAACACTCATACATGCACACACTAATATCATACATCATGTACGTTAACTCCTCGGGAACTGAGAACGTGTCACTGACGTTTCTGGGGAACAAAGTAGGGAGGCACTGCTCTATCGCTCACCATCAAAACAACTTAAGTATGCCGCCAATTCACAAATATGTGTGCATGCACACACACATACAGAGGGGGTTGTAACTAGTCATAAGTATAGTGAGGATCCTTATTGTAGGTTGTAGTTGTTTGGATAATTGGTGAGGAGGTATGTTAATAGTGAGGATCCTTGTTGTAGGTTGTAGTTGTTTGGATATTGGTGAGGAGGTATGTTAATAGTGAGGATCCTTATTGTAGGTTGTAGTTGTTTGGATATTGGTGAGGAGGTATGTTAATAGTGAGGATCCTTGTTGTAGTTGTTTGGATATTTGGTGAGGAGGTATGTTAATTGTTAGGATCCTTGTTGTGAAGTGCTAGGTAGGACCCTGACTGTGAGGTGCTGGTTAATGTGTGTCTGAGGAATTCCTGGGTTGTTCTCAGAGGAATGTGTTGGGTGTAGACAGGTGAAGACAGAAGAGATTAAACATTTTAGCTGCTTGACTGGGTCCATTTTGAGGCAGCGGACCATTCAGTCTGCCAGTGGCATTCCGCTGTTTGGACCAGAGAACCTGTGTGTGTGTGTGTGTGCGTGCGTGCGTGTTTCAAATCGAATTAAATCTGTGTGTTTGCCCGTGTGCATGTATTTCTATTCTCTTGTTTGGCAAACCTGTAGGCTATCCTCACTGCCAGAATTTTTTAAAAAGTATTTAAAATATTTTTTTCCAAATCAGATAAACACTCCAAACAGCCTCCCTGACCGCTCGGAGGCGTCCGCATGGTCCTAAAACACACCGTTGCCTTGTTTTGTATCACATTCCAATTATAAAACTGGGGGGGACAAAAATGCAATTTCAGAATGTGGGGGGGACGTGCCCCCCCATCCCCAGTGAAAGCTGCACCCCTGATATAAACTATCAGTGACGTGCACTGTCTGCTTTATCCAAGTCATTAGGCATCTCTATGTTGTCTTCACATATCTTCTTCTCCCAGTCTCTAATCTCTTGGTGGTGTATACAGTATCCTGTGTTGTATTTTGCTCAGGCGCTTGGGAGACGACCGCCCGGTCGCCATGTCCTGAGGTGTCAGTAGGGTCCTCGCGGGTGGGCCATGCCCCTGTGGCAGTGGCAGTTCTGGAGGAGTTACCTCAGAGTTTCCCTGACCTGATGAAGGAGGCCAAGCACCACCGGCCATGCCGAGTAGTACACAACACACACCTGGACCAGGAGCTGGACACATGTCAGCACAAGCACAAACCCTGTCATGACACCATAAACTGTAAAACTTTAAATTGATAGTACATTTCATAATCAACGTTTGTCTTCAACTTGGAGGAAAACAGTTGCCCACGACACTACTTCCGATGACACCGTCTCACTGTCTCAGCTCGCATGTCTCACAGTCTCTGTAACACGTGCAGAACGTGATTAGGTTTTTTTTGCTCTGGGGAAGCGGTGTCTGATTCTGTCATGTAGCCTCACCCTAAATAAAATGACTAGAATGGAAATTATTTCATAGTTAAGCACAAAATGTGATGCTGAACTTCCTGCTTTTACTTCCTGGTATGGGTACACTCAATATGGCTAATCAAAAGAGAACGATTGCGCTCTCCCAGAAGCTTGGCTGGTGCGTAAAACCTGCAAATTCAGACAAACAGAGGTGTAATGGGTTCGCACTTAAAAATATGTTGCATAAAGCTTACTTCATTATTCGATGTAAAAATAAAACTGCATCAGGGATAGTGTACACAGACGTTTCTGCTTTACACTCAAAATGGCCACAGGTTCACCCTTCACAGAACGGGAGTGTGTTGGAGATGATTGGTATATTTGGGTGCAGAGAGAATTAGGGAGCCAGTGGTGGAAATGAAACTATGACATTTTCTAGAATTCTTAGGAATGGCTTGGCTCAAGAGTCAGGATGAGGAAGATTTGGCGTATTTTGTTAGACTGTGTGTGGTTTCTGTACCGCTGACAGGTATCTGAATCTCTGCCCTCAAATGAGAGAGGGAAGCCCCCAGGGGGTGGAAGCAGAGGGGTCATGGAGGTCCAGATCTACATCCCCTACAAGTCAGCTGAACTGCATTACGCAGGTACAGTCACATCCATATGCCAGAGAAGTGTTTAGCATTTCTGTGAAGCCACATAGTAGAGTATTGAGTTCAAGAGCAGTAATCATAAGATAGTCAGACATGTGACTAAGGGACAGGCCTGATGTTGATCTGTGGGAAAAGAAACACAGTGAGTTCATTGTTAGAGATAGTGTCGTGTTCGCCTCTTTACTCACATCTGTTGCTCCTTCTGCCTAGAGGCATGTGTGTGTGCGTGTGTGTGTGCATGCGTGCTTGCGTGTGTGTGCAGATCAGAAGACCAGGTGTTCGTGATTTATCAGTCGCTATCGCTATGTAATCTGTAATCTGGGCTGTCATGCTGCTGTGCACTCTGTGTGTATATGAGTCATTAACCTTTGTACTGACATATTATCAGCTGATTCATGATCTTAAATCAAATCAAATCAAAGTTCATTGGTCGCGTACACAGATTTGCAGGTGTTATAGCAGGTGCAGTGAAATGCTTATGTTACTAGCTCCAACAGTGCCGTAGCATGTCTCACAAATACATTACAAATACACATATAATACCCAAGATTTTACAATAAATCAAGAAATAACAATCCAAAGTAGATATATTGGAGTGAGCATGTGTGAGAATCCAGAATATACGCTGAGTGTACAAAACATTAGGAACACCTTCCAAATATTGACTTGCCGCAAACCCCCCACCCCCTCCTTGGGGCATGGACTATACAAGGTGTCGAAAGTGTATTTTGTCTTGTCCATTCAACCTCAGAATGGCACACATACAAATTACACGTCTCAATTGTCTTGAGGCTTAAAAATCCTTCTTTAACCTCTTCATCTACACTGATTGAAGTGGATATAACAAGTGACATCAATAAGTGATCACAGCTTTCACTCAGTGTATATGTTTTCCATTGTGATCAGGTATTCCATTTTATGGAGAGTTGCTAGAAGTTCCCCCAAATTGCTTTCATTGCCCTAATTGTTATGGTAAGGATTGGGGGTAGAGTAATCTGATCCTCGATCTGTGGTTACTGGCAATTTCTACCATTCAGTGTAGTGGGGTTGTGACTGTGAGCACTGAGCACTGAGCATGCTTTGTGGTCCATGGTGGTGCAGTGACACAGTGCTGCCACTGGAGAGGGCCCAAGCCCGCCTGGAGAAGTTGAAGGAGAGTCTATAAACGGGAGAGACCCAAATCACCCCTTCCCCTTCTCCCCACCCCTTGGCCCTCCATTTGCGAGTTCACGCGCGCCTCCGCCATTTCAACAAGTGTCCCAAAGCTGAGGGAGTGACAATTTCGAGTGTAGGGTCTAATTAGACCCTCAGATAGACACTTCGACCGAGCCTGCAAGGCTGCAGGCTTCAGGCTTCAGAGCGAAGTGCTATCCTGAACACGCACTGCGATATGTTTGGAGTTTCCGCGATTTCATACAAAAGAATGGAGAGGCGTGCTTAATTATATGCCATTTGCATTTGTTTATGTCTGATTTCGAGACTTGACACGTACTGTAACAGATTAAATACCTCCCAAATTAAATGTTTAACTGTTACTGAGGTTAATATCTTGTAAAACGACAGACGGGATTTGTTAATTTGAATTTCCTGGTCGTTTTATTATTTAAAAGTGGAACATGAATTGCATCATTCAATTCAGGACGGTGTCCCGAAGTTGGCTGTGTTTTTTGATCCCCTCTCCACTGTCCGGAAGTCAGACCCTTGGAGTTTTGTCAGCAACATGTGACAATAGAGGGCCCTCCGAGCAAGTTGGTAGGGGCTAGGGGGTGGTTTGGGATGCACAAGAGATTACTGAGCTCCTGGATGCAGAGCAGACACCATCCCACCTATCTCTATGGCACAGCCCCCATGTGATGGCCTGCTTGAAATGTCTCCATTATACAGTGTCTTTTAAAAAGGATTTTAAGAAACCCAGAACTAAAATCTGTCAACGAGAGATCAAACAGTCTCCATTATGTTTATGTACTGTATGTTGCCCCAGGGCATCAGCATTGACTACTACGTAGCACTGATCTTTACTATCACCATTGAGGCTATGGAAAGAAACAAAGGCATGAGCACTGCTTAGAGGGCCAGTTTCCCAGACATAGATTAGTCCTTGTCCTGGAATAAAAATAGCTTTTCATGGAGAATCTCCTTTGTGAATGCTTTTTAGTCCAGGTCTAGGCTTAATTAGTGTCTGGAAAACTGGCCCTTAAAGAACCGTGTGGCCTTTGCCCAAGCAAGAGAGAAGCTTGTCCATATGTCACAACTACTTTATTAAGGAAAAATGTACTCACTATGACTGTGATATGTGGTTGTCCCACCTAGCTATTTTAAGATGAATGCACTAACTGTAAGTCACTCTGGATAAGAGTGTCTGCTAAATAACTAAAATGGAAACATTTTAATATAATATGACCGCAGATGTCCACAACCGCAAAGAGGAGGACAATCCTAACCCAGAATGGTTAGTATACGAACTACAATGCTGATTTCCATCCCATGAAAATGTCTTTGAATTACTGCAGCTTCCTTTCCAGCCATGGAATCTTCCTTATTCAATCTTGTTCTGAGGGCATCTCTGCCTCAAGGGCAGAAAAAATGTGGTTGTGTTTAGGCAAGTAATCCCAATTGGTTAGGGTTGAGGGTTAGTGTTGAGGCTAGGGTTAGTGTTGAACCGGGATATGGACATGAAGTTAGGGTTAGGATTAGGGTTGAGGGTTAGGGTTGAACCAGGATATGGACATGAAGATAGGGTAAGGGGTTGGGGTAACTGTAGAAAATAAATAGGATTGGTTAAGTTTCGGGTTAGGCTAAGGGTTGGGGTAGGTTTCGAACCAACAACCTTTTGAATGGAAACAGCCTTTGTGGAAGCACTAAAGCGACCATAACTAACCCCTATATTACATAACACCCTTTAGATATGGGGCCAAAGTAAATGGAAATGGTGCCTCTTGTTTTTGAGTGAATAACGTTCTGTACCACAGGTTGGACCCATCAAATGAGCATGCATCTAATGTGCTTTTGCTACAGGAGACACTGAGGGGATGTGAGATTACCCAGAAGACTTTGGACTGTATCAGAGTCGGGGCCAGCCCTTCTCTCTCTGGTAATGTAATGTGTGTGTCTGTGTGTGTGTGCGTTGTCGCTACTACGTATGTTTACCTATGTGTCTCTGTTTCTATTTCTGTAACAACGTGATATGTAAACTGCACATGTTTCTGTAGTATGATGGAGTACAGCAGGGTTGGGCTCAATTCGAGTCAGTCAATTCAGGTAGTAAACTGAAATTCCAATTCAATAATACAAAAAATTGCTTTTATTTTCAATGACTTCAATGACTTTCGAAAAAGATAAGCTATTTATTTCAAAAGTTTTTTAAAACTTTTAAATCACTTACTGAATTGAAAGGCTTCAATTCTAATTGACCACAACCCTGCACTACATTACTTATTATGCACTTACAGTGCATTCAGAAAGTATTCAGACCCCTTCCCTTTTTCCACATTTTGTTACGTTACAGCCTTATTCTAAAATGGATTAAATACACATTTTTCCTAATCCATCTACACACAATACCCCATAATGACAAAGCAAAAACAGGTTTTTATAAATGTAGCAAATATAATAAAAATAAAAAACATAAATACCTTATTTACATAAGTATTCAGACCCTTTGCTATGAGACTCGAAATAGAGCTCAGGTGCATCCTGTTTCCATTGATCATCCTTCTACAAATTGATTGGAGTCCATCTGTGGTAAATTCAATTGATTGGACATGATTTGGAAAGGCACACACCTGTCTATATAAGGTCCCACCGTTAACAGTGCATGTCAGAGCAAAAACCAAGTTCTTGAGGGTGTAATCGCTGCCAAAGGTGCTTTAACAGTGTTTTGCGTAAATGGTCTGAATACTTATGTAAATGTAATATTTTTGTTTTTTATTTTTAATACATTTGCAAACATTTCTGAAAACCTGTTTTTCCTTTGTCATTATGGAGTATTATGTGTAGATTGATGAGGGAAAAAAACGATTTAATCAATTTTAGAATAAGGCTGTAACGTAACAAAATGTGGAAAAAAGTGAAGGGGTCTGAATACTTTCCAAAGGCACTGTCCCTCTCCACTCTCTCAGACCGTGACACAGCTCCAGAGTTACATGATATTTTGAAGAGGGGTGAGGGAGTGAAAAGCATTGGCCAGCAACTCTTATTGCTGCAACACCAGGTAAGCTGTTCAAACAAAGACTGTTAAAACAGCTAGTCTATAGCTAGCTAGCTAGCTAGAACATTAAGTAGTAATGTAAGAGAGGAGAATAGGAAGGTCGTAGAGAACTACACTTCAGAGAGGACCATGAGGAAGAAATACTATAACATTTTGGAGGACATGAAAGGTAGTTATCTATCATTGTGACCGACTAGGTTTGAACGCGGGTCTTTTGCGTGCCCAAAGACTATTTTAGCTGATCTTAAGCTTAGGTGCAATTTCAGTACTGTACAGTGTGGGGCCGTTTGACCTTTGCAGTTGTTTTGTCATGGTGCAGGTACAATTTGGGTGTTCTGTCCAATGAGCCCGGCCAAGGCAGGTCAGGGAGGGGCCATTGCCGTGAAGCGTCTGGACGATTACTCTGTTACCGTGGAAACCCCAACGGGGCCAAGAGCGTTCCGGTTCGACCAGGAAGATGTGTTCCAAGATACCAACATGTGATGCTGCCAATCTTTTATTGGTTAAAATTGAACTAAAGGAAACAAGAAAGGACGAAAGGAGGTATCCACCCTTCTCAAAGCCTCTGCCAAAGCCCATCCCTAACCCCTTTTACCCCTATCTCAGATTCAGCAAGTCTGTCACGAAATACAGCACAGAGCACTGTGATTGATTGAGCATAATCAGGGGTTAAATGGGTTTGGTTGAGGTGGTGGAACTGGAAGTGTATTCAAAGGTATTTTTTCAGTTGAGAATTTTGTGCTTGTTGTACACACCAATGTTTAACTAAACCCAACCCCCTGGTCTTGATTGTTGTCAATGTTTTCGCTGGCCCACAGTAGCTCTTGAGGACATTAAGCATCCCTGTTTGAACCATTTTACATTTACATTTGAGTCATTTAGCAGACGCTCTTATCCAGAGCGACTTACAGTTAGTGAGTGCATACATTTTTTAAATATTTTTTTTTATACTGGCCCTCCGTGGGAATCGAACCCACAGTCATGTTTCCAGGCTGATCCAGTCAGCCGTCGACGTCAGCCTGTATCTTTGCGTACAGTCAGACAGGCTCCAGAAAGACCTTCACCGTGGTGAGTGACAGAGACCAGAGAAGCCCAGGCATCATGCATGCAGAGAGCGTTCAATGCCATATTTGACATCCTCCTAGAGAATGCCACCAAGTTTGACTTCAAGGTGAGGGCTGAGAAGTCTCACTGAGCGAGGAGAAACAATTTCCCTATTGTACATCAGCAACAAGAAACAAATATACCTTATAGTAAACATAAAAGGACATCCATCTCCTCTCGACTCGTCTCCTCTCTTCTCATTTTCTCTCCTCTCCCCTGTCCTCTCTCATTTTTCTCCTCTCCTCTCTCCTTTCCTTCCCACTTTTCCTCTCGTCTCCGCTCATCTCTCCTCTTCGTGCTACTCTCTCCGTAGGTCTCGGCCTACATGTTGGAGCTGTATAATGACTGGCTCCAGGACCTCTTTGTGAGCGGACCGAGGTCCTGAGCAGGCGGGTGGAGATTAAGAGGAACAAAAAGGGACTTGTGTTTGCCCAGGGAGCAGAGACAAAGGAGGTCTCCAGCGCCGGGGAGCTCTTCAACATGTTTCAGCAGGCCTGCGCCAACCGCCATATCGCAGCCACCAGTACACCCAAACGCCTGCACCCCATTTCAAAGGGGCCCTGTTAAATTGGTTTAGTCAGAGTGAGTGGATAGTAGGTACATCATTACAGAACTGGACTCAGAGAGGGAAAGGTGCCAAGCAAGGCATACGTAAGAGGAGATTCTTAATTCTACCTCACGTCATAATGCTGTTTTGATGAGAAAATATGATGAAATCAGAAATAGGAATAAAGTAAACAGGAAATAAATAAATAATGTTTTATTTTATTTTTTCTCTATGGATATCATTGCTGACTACTCCTAACTCTGTCTGTCTTTCTCGGATTCTGTATCGCTCTCTGTCTTTCTCTCTCTCTCCCTCCCAACCCGCTCTTTCTATAGGAGGCTAACTCCATTAACAAGTCTCTGAGTGCTCTGGGAGATGTGATCTAGGCCCTGTCATCAGAGCTGTCCCATATCCCCAACTGGCGGCCCGCAGGTGATTCTATTATTATTTTAATTTTTGTATTGTTGGACATAAGACTGTAAAAACACTAGCAAACAATTTTGGAAATCTGTTCCAAAGTATTCCCACACATAATACAGAGATATACACTGCATTCGGAAAGTATTCAGACCCCTTGACTTTTTCCACATTTTGTTACGTTACAGCCTTATTCTAAAATGGATTAAATAAAAAAATATCCTCATCAGTCTAACACAATACCCCATAATGACAAAGCGAAAACAGGTTTTTACAAATGTTGGCAAATCTATAGAAAATAAAAAGCTGAAATACATTTTAGTCATTTAGCAGACGCTCTTATCCAGAGCAATTAGGGTTAAGTGCCTTGCTCAAGGGCACATCGACAGATTTTTTACCTAGTCGGCTCGGGGATTAGAACCAGCGACCTTTCGGTTACTGGCACAACGCTCTTAACCACTAAGCTACCTGCCGCCCCTTATTTATGTAAGTATTCAGACCCTTTGCTCTGAGACTCGAAATTGAGCTGAGTTGCATCCTGTTTCCATTGATCATCCTTGAGCTGTTTCTACAACTTGATTGGTGTCCACCTGTGGTAAATTAAATTGATTGGACATTATTTGGAAAGGCACATGCCTGTCTATATAAGGTCCCACAGTTGACAGTGTATGTCAGAGCAAACACCAAGCCATGAGGTCGAAGGAATTGTCCGTAGAGCGTCGAGGCACAGATCTGGTGAAGGGTATTAAAAATGTATGCAGCATTGAAGGTCCTCAAGAACACAGTGGCCTCCATCATTCTTAAATGGAAGAAGTTTGGAACCACCAAGACTCTTCCTAGAGCTGGCCACCCGGCCATACTGAGCAATCGGGGGAGGTGACCAAGAACCCGATGGTCACTTTGAAAGAGCTCCAGCGTTCCTCTGTGGAGATGGTAGAACTTTCCAGAAGGACAACCATCTCTGCAGCACTCTACCAATCAGGCCTTTATGGTAGTGGCCAGACGGAAGCCACTCCTCAGTAATAGGCACATGACAGCCCGCTTGGAGTTTACCAAAAGGTACCTAAAGGACTCTCAGACCATGAGAAAGAAGATTATCTGGTCTGATGAAACCAAGATTGAACTCTTTGGCCTGAATGTCAAGCATCACGTCTGGAGGAAACCTGGCACCATCCCTATGGTGAAGCATGGTGGTGGCAGCATCATGCTGTGGGGATGTTTTTCAGCGGCAGGGAGACTAGTCCAGATCGAGGCAAAGATTAATGGAGCAAAGTACAGAGAGATCCTTGATGAAAACCTGCTCCAGAGTGCTCAGGACCTCAGAATAGGGCAAAGGTTCACCTTCCAAAAGGACAACGACCCTAAGCACACAACCAAGACAATGCAGGAGTGGCTTCGGGACAAGTCTTTGAAAGTCCTTGAGTGGCCCAGCCAGAGCCCGGACTTGAACCCGATTGAACATCTCTGGAGAGAGCTGAAAATATCTGTGCAGCGACGCTCCCCATCCAACCTGCCAGAACTTGAGAGAATCTGCAGAGAAGAATGAGAGAAACTCCCCAAATACAGGTGTGCAAAGCTTGTAGCATTATACCCAAGAAGACTTGAGGCTGTAATCGCTGCAAAAGGTACACTACCGGTCAAAAGTTTTAGAACACCTACTCATTCAAGGGTTTTTCTTTATTTTTACTATTTTCTACATTGTAAAATAATAGTGAAGACATCAAAACAATGAAATAACACATATGGAATCCTGTAGTAAGCAAAAAGGTGTTAAACAAATCAGAATATACGTTATATTTGAGATTCTTCAAAGAGCCACCCTTTGCGTTGATGACAGCTTTGCACACTCTTGGCATTCTCTCAACCAGCTTCACCTGTAATGCTTTTCCAACCGTCTTGAAGGAGTTCCCACATATGCTGAGCACTTGTTGGCTGCTTTTTCTTCACTCTGCGGTCCGACTCTTCCAAACCATCTCAATTTGGTGGAGGTCGGGGGATTATGGAGGCCAGGTCATCTGATGCAATAATTCATCATTCTCCTTCTTGGTAAAATAGCCCTTACACAGCCTGGAGGTGTGTTGGGTCATTGTCCTGTTGAAAATCAAATTATGGTCCCACTAAGCCCAAACCAGATGGGGTGGCGTATCGCTGCAGAATGCTGTGGTAGCCATGCTGGTTAATTGTGCCTTGAATTCTAAATAAATCACAGACAGTGTCACCAGCAAAGCACCCCCACACCATCACATCTCCTCCTCCTCCATGCTTTACGGCACCATGTCTGGAACCAAAAATCTCCCAATTTGGACTCCAGACCAAAGGACAAATTTACACAGGTCTAATGTCCATTGCTTGTGTTTCTTGGCCCAAGTAAGTCGCTTCTTATTGGTGTCCTTTATAGTAGTTCTTTCTTTGCAGCAATTCGATCATGAAGGTCTGATTCACACAGTCTCCTCTGAACAGTTGATGTTGAGATGTGTCTGTTACTTGAACTCTGTGAAGCATTTATTTGGGCTGCAATTTCTGAGGCTGGTAACTCTAATGAACTTATCCTCTGCAGCAGAGGTAACTTTGGGTCTTCCATTCCTGTGGTGGTACTCATGAGAGCCAGTTTCATCATAGCGCTTGATGGTTTTTGCGACTGCACTTGATGCAACTTTCAAAGTTCTTGAAATGTTCCGTATTGACTGACCTTCATGTCTTAAAGTAATGATGGACTGTCATTTCTCTTTGCTTATTTGAGCTGTTCTTGACATAATATGGACTTGGTCTTTTACCAAATAGGGCTATCTTCTGTATACCCCCCTACCTTGTCACAACACAACTGATTGGCTCAAACGAACTAAGAAGGAAAGAAATTCCACAAATTAACTTTTAACAAGGCACACCTGTTAATTGAAATCCATTCCAGGTGACTACCTCATGAAGCTGGTTGAGAGAATGCCAAGAGTGTTTAAAGCTGTCATCAACACAAAGGTTGGCTCTTTGAAGAATCTCAAATATAAAATATGTTCTGATTTGTTTAACACTTTTTTGCTTACTACATGATTCGCTATGTGTTATTTCATTGTATTGATGTCTTCACTATTATTCTACAATGTAGAAAATAGTAAAAAATAAAGAAAAACCCTTGAATGAGTAGGTGTGTCCAAACTTTTGACTGGTACTGAAAGTATACTGTGTGTGTGTGTGTGTGTGTGTGCGCATGTGTGAGTGTGTGTGTGTGTGTGTGTGTATGCATGTGTGTATGTACTGCATGTTTACTGTCTGGCTGGGGGCTAGGGCTAGGTTTAGGGCTGTGGGGGGACATTGCGTGCAGGGTGTTAATGGGAGCCCCTGGGCAGCGGAATGGGGCCCACAGGGGCCCCCGGAGGACCAGCGGGGCAATTAGGAAGTCATTTGGCCAGTTTGTGCTTCTATTGTGGGAAAATCAATCAGTGTGGAGCGTATTAGGGTTCGCTTGGCAGGTAGAGGCCCGCACTGAGCTGCCCATGGCCAGCCACTGTCACGCAGTCAGATCCCATAGCAGGGAACAGACAGGGTCACACTCAAACGCAAAGGCCCTGTCATGTTGGTTTTGAGAACAACGGGGAGTCCAATAGAATTAGAGCATTCTGAACAGGCAACAGGAGGAGGGGATGGGGGGGCTGAAAGGATGCTTGGGTTTTAGGGGTTTGAAGGGAGTGGAGTGGGCACGAACTGGCATTTTCTGGAAACTGTATTTCCACTGGTTTCCCTTCCACTTGTTTCTCTTTCACAAATGTTTCTCTGTAGTTACCTCTTCTGGTGTTACATATACAATATGTCCGAGCAGGTGTTAATAAAAGCATTTAAAATTCAAATCCAAAATGGGCTTATCTGCTGTTGGGAGTGTAGCAAGGTAATTTTGTTCGCTAGGTTATGAAGAAGATAGTTTTTACTTTGATATACCAGTGGTATGACACTGTTTCTGGGTGCATTCTTACTTTAATACATCAGTGTGATTTTCGAGTGGACTGGGTCAATCAGGTCACTTTAGGGGTAATTCTATTTCTGAATTAATATTATTCTGGTGTTATTGCTTTATTATTTATTAATTATTTCCATAACTTTCTTTGTGTGTTATCTTTTAAATAAATACAAATCTGTCAAGTAATCTGAGTTTAGCAGAGCTGGTATAAAACAATATTACAATCAAGACTAGAGTGGCTAGAATGATTCAGCCTATTTCCTGTGAACCTGTTATATCTCTGTTAGATGTTCTCTTTCCTTTTGGAGATGGTATATGTTTTTTATGCTATACTAAATTTGACATTAGTGTAATTTCGCCTTATTTGTGAAATATGTTCCTTGTTTTAAACTTATATTCATACATTGAGTTGGAATTTTGTTTGTTATATGTTATATTTGCACAACAATGGAATGTTCACCATATAACGTTGAGTACGAACTGCTAGCTCTCTGTGTTGTTTTTAGCATTATATGCTAGCTATGCATCCTAGCTAGCATGTTAGCATTTCAGCTATGCTGTTATTTCAGTTA